TATTTCTATATAAAGGTAGCTATATCTCAGTAGATGATCTCATTTGCGACTTGATTTAGAACTTTGAGCTCAGCCAATGTAAGCACCCTCAAATTGCCTTCTTCTTGTCTTGAACTCTATGTCACTTCTTCCCTCTTTTATGCATTCTGGTTTGCGAGGACATATCCTTCCAGGTCAGACCTGGGCTCTTTATCTCATGCCGCATTCTTCCTTGGAAACTCGTTCTGTCACTGGCTTCTCAAGTCTCTCCATTTTTATAGCTTCTTTCCTGTCCTTACAACCCTTATAGCCATCCTCTACCCTCTTGTGCCTTCAATTACTTAAAAAAAAACAAAAAAACAAAAAACTTTTCAAAAGAGAATTCTATATTCTCCACCTCGTGTACCTTAACCCTACGGATTTGGCCTTCCATCTTCACCACTCCTGAAGCCACTATTCTGAAAAACCAGTGACTTACTGATCACCAACTCTGATGCCCTCTCAATTCACAACCTCATTAAGCACTGCAGCATTTGATGGAAACTCTCTCCTCTCCTGGCTTCCAAGACCAGTGTTGTTTTTTCATTCTTGCTATTTTTATGTTTCTTTCCTATATCCTGTCCAGGGTTCTTTACCTAACCTTCCCTAAATATAAAGCTCCTCCAATTTTCCAAGTTTCTGTATTTGGACCCCTCTCCTCTGTTTCTCTTTTCTCTCCTCTCTTTGTCAGTTCAGCCTCTTCACAGTTTTACTTATCATCTCCATATGGATAATTTCCAGATTCACTTTTCTGATACTAACTTTTTGAATATGCAGACCAGTACTTCCAACTGGTTCCTGGATATCTTCATTCACTCACTCACTCACTCACTCATTCATTCATTTACATTCATTGACAACTTACTAAAAGATAAGTTCTGCCCTAGAGCTATGGAGACAGCAGTGAACAAAACAAAGTTCCCTCCCACAGAGCTTACATTCTAGTGAAAGAAGAAAGTATAAGCAAATGAAAAATGTGTCAGGTGGTAGTAAGTGCTATGGAGAAAAACAAATCTAGTAAGAGGACAGGGAGTGATGCACAATGCGGTGACTAATTTAGATTGGATAATCAATGAAATCTCTCTATAAAATGCCACTTGAGCAGAAATCTGAAGGAAGTGAGAGTACAAACCATGTCCCTACAGAACATAGGTGCTGAGGTACAAGGAGGCAAATGTGACTGGAGTACGGTGAGCCAAAGAGATGTTCTTTCTCTCTCACATGGAGATAGAGATATCTGATATAGACAGAGAGAGAGAGAACTCTTTGACCTCATTATCTATATATTTTATAATCTTACCACTTATAATCTTACCACTTCTTACACTCTTATACACACATACACACATATCTATATATATATATGGTGCATATCACATAGAGCCTTGTGGGGCATGGTAAGGATTTTGACTTCGACTCCAAATGAGAGGAGAAGCCACTGAAGGATTTTGAGCATAGAAGTAACAAGATCTGACTTACAATTAAAAAGAAACACTTTGGCTGCTTTGTGGAGAAATGATTGTATGTGTTCAAGTGTGGAAGCAGTTAGACCAGTCAAGAGTGTAATGTAAAATGTGATAATGCAGGAAAAGAAGATGGGAACTTGTAGCAAAGTGGCAATGATGAAGGTTGTAAGAAGTGGTAAGATTCAGGATCTATTTTGAAGGAAGACCTGAAAGAATTTGCTGAAGGATTGGTATAACGTATAGAGAAAGAGAATAGTCAAGAATGACTGGGCCTTAGATACTGGTAGAATGGAGTTTTCATTTGTTATAAAGCAAACGACTTTGGGTTGAACAGGTTGTGGTGCATGGTGAAATCAAGAGTATGGTTTTGAACATGTTAAATATGAGATGTCTGTTAGACATCCAAGGGGAAGTAAGAATTAAATATTTCAATATATAATCGGGAATTTAGAGGCAAGGTCAAGCAAGCTATATGTCATTTGTCAACAAATACATATTTAAATAAAAGTCACAGGACTGGATGAGATCTTTAGAGAACAAGTATAGATAAAGAAGATAAGAGGTCTAGATGTGGTAACTGAGTTCTGGGACATCCCAGTGTTTAAAGGTCAGGGAGATAAAGGAATTAGAAAGAGAGACCAAGATACAGAACAGTAAGCAAGTGTTTCAAGAGAGAAATGACAAGTCTTGATAGCTGGTTGATTAAGAAGAAGGCTGGGAAAAGACCACTGGATTTATCAACACAGAAGTCACTGATGACCATAACAGATAAAAAAAAAAAAGCTGGTGTGGTGAACAGTGAACACAACTTTACTTGGGAAGGATCAAGAAAGAACAAAAGTGGAGACAAGAAGCAGAAATAACTTTTTCAAGTTTTGTTGTAAAAGAGAGCTGAGTAGAGGGTGGTAGCTTAGTGTTTGCTAGAAGGAACGTAAGTCCAAAGGTGGCATTTTTTTAAAAGATGAGGAGAAAAAACACCATATTTGCTTCTCATGGGGACCACCCAATAGAAAGGGCAAAACTGATGATGCAAGTAAGAGGATAATTGTATGGGTGACAGCCTTGTGTCTTTGAGTACGTGAGAGGGTTGAGATTCTGGGCACAGTGGGAGGCTGGTTTTAGGAAACAACATAGATGCTTCAATCATTGTAGCAGAACAAAAAACTTAGTACGTGAATACAGATATAAGTATGTGATTAATTCAATGATGGGAAAGTGTGAAGTTCTCCTGTGATTACTTCCAAATTCTCAGTGAAGTAAGAGGATTAGCAACTGACTGGGAAAGGGGAGGGTAGGTTGGCAGGGGAGGAGATTTAGAGATTTGAGGAGAAATGAGAATGTGTAAAATAATTATCTAGGATAGTGGTTACTAAATGTTTTTAACAGCAGCACAGAATAAGAAATATCACTATCCAGGATGTAAATACATGAACACACACAAAAGTTTCAGGAGAAAGTACCCTTACTTCACTTACTTTCATTTCAATTCAATTCTATTTTATTAACAAAAGGTGGATAGTGCCTTACTAAATAATTTCATGACACACCAACGGGTTGTAATCTGCAGTTTGAAAAAAACACTCATCTAGAGGACTTGAAGAGGAAATTTTCTGAAGAAATGTAATAAGATTCCTGTGCAGGAAAATAAACTAACTTAAGGACAGAATGTAACATAAGATTGATCAGCAAAATCAAAAGCAAATCACGACACACTCCCCACCCCCGATTATTCCTCCTGCTGAGATCTCTATTTATTCTTAACTCCTCTATTCTCCAGTAACACAGATTTGAGATCTATCAGTTTTCTTCCTATACCCCATTTCTGTAACTCTCTCCATTCAATCATTTGCAAAATTTAAAAGATCTGCCTCTAAACTCTTACGAGCATCTGTTTCTATTTCCATTGCTTTTACCATGGTTCAGGCCTTTATTGCTTTTGATCCATCTATATATTTTATATTCTACTTTTTTTATTATGATAATAACAGGTGTCCATAATAAGAATTTTTTTTTAAAAAGACAAGTAAAGAAAATAAACACAATTTTACTATTTTAGAGATTAACTAGTTTCACTTGGTATATTTACTTCTATTTTATATGCATATGTATTCTATAATTCTCCCTGTAGATATACAATTATGTAATGTAAGCCTGTCTTATAATATGCTTGTTTTTAAGATAACACATTGTGAATTTCTGCCCACATCATTATGTTTGAAAAAATCATATTTAATAGCTGTGGAGTGTTCCATGTTTGGTGTTTTAGTCTAAACCATTTTGTTGAATTTGTGCAGTCATGTGCGTGTGCCTCTCAGATCTGGGACGGCAGGGACCACAATTTACCAAGGACTCCAGCTGCTGTGCTCTAAAATCGATTCATCTCTTAGTTTGTTGCAAGGCCGCACTTCCTATGGGTCGCTCCCAGTCAATATCGAGCTCCAGAAATGTACTTAGGCAGGCCCATTTCTTGGCAACTTGGGATCCCTCTTATAAGTGACTTTGGCTAGAGGTCTCCCTGACAGCCCTGCAGAACTTTCCTCAGAACTTCCCACAACTTTCCTGTCTCCCTTCCCTCAGGATCAGACTTGCATGAAGTCGGAAGGCTCTCCCTGCTTCTTCTCCCAGCTCCTTGCCCATTTTCTCTCACAGGCCTCTCTGTTTCCCCTAACAAATTTCTTGTACACTTAATTCCATCTTGGCATCTGTTTCTCAGAGGACACAAACTAACACAGGCATTTAGGTTGTTCTCAGATTTTTATTCTGTACAACTAAACTTGTGATTGCTCAACTCTCAGCACAACATTCTTCTGTTGAGAGCCCTTCAAAGCACTCCCATTGCTCACTAAATCAAGCCTAACCCGTCCCTCTCACCTCCACACTACGGCTGGCTCCAGCCCATCTTTCCAAACACCACCCAGTGCTCTTAGTCTAGGCCAAGGCCTGCTCACCAAATATTCTCCCGCTCATCTCATTCCACCCTCCTGCCCCCCAGCCAAGAAATCATCTGCCAGCTGATGCCTCCTTCATTCTGTATCCCTTCTTGACTTTCCCACTCCAGTGTTCTCTCCCCTTCATTTTAAAGGCCATAGAAAGGTGTTTTCTGCAGTGTATTCACTCTTTTTGGTATGTTAAAAGGGAGGCGTTATCAGGGAAGTGTATAGAGTCTGTAAGCAGGCAGACCTGGATAGTTATATTACCATCACTTAAAAAAAAAAAAAACAAGCTGAGATTTGACATGTTTGGGAAACACTGAGCTAAACAAAGATAATCCAAGTCTTTGGGTTTTTTTTTGTTTTTTGTTTTTAATTGCAAGACTTCCCGGAGCCCTTAAAATGCTAATAGACATTATGACTTTCCAAGACAGGTGTTGATACCTTATGTAGCTTGTCTTGAATTTATTTGATCACAAAATCCTTTAAAATAGATCATCTCCAGACATTACTGTTTCTTGGAACACACTTTGGGAAAGGGTAAAAGTTGTCACAGAATTCTGCACGTATGATTCTTATAGTACTATATACTCTTTATCTTGTTATAGTTATTTGTATATCTTACACATTTTCCCCACTTTAGCTTTTAGCATAAGGTCTTGAAAATAACAGACACCTGTTGAGTTGAAAATCCCAAAAGTTTATGAAGGTTCATGGCCTGGAATAATCTTTGGTAACTGGAGAAAGTTAGTTTGCATCTTCTTTCAGTAGCTTCTTTGCAGTCTATTTTGTACCATAGCATCCTGGGCTACCTTTCAGGCTGGGAGAAGTATCTTGATCTGGGAAAAATGCCCTTGTTAACATGGGGCTAAAGACATTTTCTCTACTTTATTGGAGGAAGAGTATAGCAGAAGAATATAAAGGTGGAGGTGCATTTTAAGGGCAAGAAAGCAGGAGACAGCTGACTCTGGCTCCTGGCACACCCTGGGCGGTGGGGAAGGCACCCTGCGGCTTAGTTCTAGTTGTTTTCATTTCCAAGTGTGTGTTTATCAAAAAGGTACTCTGCCAGGCCAGAATCTGGGGCCCCCATCTTAACCAAGTTGTGCACGTGGTCACCTAGTTCTTTGATGGACTTCACCTGCTCATTAAGATAGTGGGTTTCCAGAAAGTCGCACAAATGGGGGTCACCTTTGTCTGAGGCCAGAGTGTGCAATTCCAGCAACGACCGGTTCACATCCTTTTCCAAGAGCAGAGCACACTTCATGGCATTCAGCCCGCTCTCCCAGTCGTCTTGGTCCGGTTTCTTGATGTCCTGCAGGCAGATCCGTCCTCCTCGCTGGTTCTGCAGCCTCATCAGCTTCTCCGCGTGCTCTGTCTCCTCCCGGGACTGGCGAAGGAAATATCTGGCGAAGTTGTTCAAGGCCACGTCATCTCGGGAGAAGTAATAGGCCATGGACAGGTACACGTAAGACGCATAGAGCTCGAGGTTGATCTGGCGGTTTATGGCGGCCTCGGTGTCGGGGTGGAAGTTCTGGCGCACCCGGGAGGGGGCGGAGGCGGGCCCGGCTGGGTCCCCGGAGGAGGCGGCTGCCACCAGGGGGCGGCGGGGGGCGGCGGTCTGGCGGCCCGAGGGGCTCCCCGGGAGCCAGCGCGGCGAGAGCGCAAAGCCGCGGCGCGCGCTGCGCAGAGACACCAGCGAAGTGTTGATATGTTTGGAGAGGAACAAGAAACAGGACAGCATGGCTCCTCCTCTTCCGAAGCGGGGAAACTGAGGCCAGGCCGTCTCAGCGCACTGTCGGGCGCCGGGGCGTCAGGTCTGAACCAGACCGCGCCTGAGGCGACGGCGACTGCGTCACACACCCCTTCCCTTCCAGAGGCGCCGAGTTCCACGCGGAGGGCGGCCGGGGGCGCGCGCGCCTGTCGCGGTTAGGCACAGGCAGATGACAGTTACACAGCTCCGTTTATCTGAAGATTGCCCCCATCGTCGATGCAAGATTTCTGCTCTTGGGCATTTGTGATTTATTTCACCTAAGTGAAAAATGCAGTCAAAAAAGTAGGCACTGTGACTTGTAAAAGAAAGTACTGAACAAGCCTACTTGCCCTCCCTCTCGGACCTTTTTCTGTCCAAGGACTAAGGGATGCCGGAGGCCAGCAAGAAACAGGGTAAAGCAAAAGTCACCACCAATTCATCAAAGAGAGTGAAGGTCCACATCCAAAGCCGGTGTTTATAAACTGACTTTCTAGTTAGCTTACTAAATTTAAGTATGGAAATAATTGCCAGTACAGTGGGCAAATTTTCACGAGTCTGTAGTAAGACTGCTTTCTTTTAAAAAGACATACACATTTTATTTTTAAATATAGAAGTTATCTTCGTTGTAAAAAAAATCAGGTACTGTAGAAAAGTAGGAAGAACATATAAACTAGCTCTGAACTTGATGTTGCTTTCCTGTCTTTTGTTAATGCAGATACATATTTTTTATTTTTTTCAGATACATATTTTTAAAAAGACAATTTAAAAAAATTAAATTTAAAATGGCATTTTGTTTTAAAAAATATATTTGCTTGATGTAGGGTCTTGAGAAAATGAGGATGAACTCACAGAAGAAAATTCAAAACATTCCTAATTCTTCCTCTGGCCAGAGAGACCATTGTTAAAATGTTGATGGTAATTCTCACAGATTAAAAAAACCTAAAAAAATATATATATCACAGACACACAAAAGTAAATATATACATTTTTAACAGCTTTAAAGAGCTATACTTGACATGCAATAAACTGCAGATGCTTAAAGTGTACAACCTGATGGGGTTTGACATATGTATGTATCTGTGAAACCATCACCAAAATCAAGATAATGAACATATTCATCATTTCCCAAAGTTTCCTATGCCCCCTTGTATTGTGTTATCCCTCCCTCTGCCTCTCTCTGCCCCATCTCATTCCAGGCATCCACTGATCTGCTTTTCCTATGTAGATTAGTTTGCAGAATTTCCTGTTGTAGATTAGTTTGTAGAATTTCATATAAATGGAATCAGACAGTATATACTTCTTTTTGCCTGGTTTCTTTCACTCAGCATTAGTACTTTGAGATCCATCCGTGTTGTAGGGTGTATCAATCGTTAGTTCCTTTTCTTGCTGAATAGTATTTCACTGTATGGATACACTACAATTTGTTTAGCCTTTCACCTGCTGATGAACGTTTTGGTTGTTTATACAGTTTTTTGGCTATTAAAATAAACCTGTTGTGAACATTCATTTATAAATCTTTGTGTGGTTATATGCCCTCAATTTCTTGGGAAAATATTTGTATGGGATGGCTGGATCATCTAGTAAGTATATGCTTAACTTTTTAAGAAACTTCAAATTGTTTTCCAAAGTGGTGGTACCATTTTACATTCCCACCAGCAGCGTGTGCGAGTTAAGTTCCTTCACATCCTTGCAAACGCTTGGTATTGTCAGTTATTTAATTTTAATTTAAAATTCACATTTTAGCCATTCTAGTAGGTGTATACTAGTGTTTCATTGTATTTTTAATTTGTATTCCCATAAAAATTAATCATGCTGAGTATATTTTGGTGTGCTTTCTTTGCCAACCATGTATCTTTGATGCAGTATGTGTTCAAATATTTTGCCCGTTTATATATTGGGCCACTTCTTGTCTTATGGTTGTTTGATTTCTTATGATTAATATCTGCATCTTTGATATTAGTACTGCTTCTCTTCAGGTCCTCTTTATGTTGTCTGTATATTACCTTCTCTATATTACTTTCCTACATTTTCTTGGGCAAGTCAGATTACCTTTCTAGGTCATTTTCCTCACCTGTAGATTTAGGATCCTACTTACCTCCAGTGGGTGGTTGAGAGGATTAAATAAAAGAATGTATGCAGAGCACTTATCACAGTACTTGACACAGAAGAAGCATTCAAAATATTCTTTAATAGGTTTTATTGAATAATTTCTATTTAATTATTCAAAATCAATCATTTTATATTATTCAGTAAACAATAGTTGTTATCTTATATGGAAAGACTGTGCAGCTTATAAAGGATGCTTACATGTATTATATTGTTGCCATCATGTATGGGTAGTGAGGTAGAAATTCTTTTATTATATGGACATATCAAACTTGTAGTTTTGTAGCAAGCTCCCTGGTCTCAAACGAGCTTCTTAAAGTGTACCATAAATAAAGGTGGATGCCAAAGATCTAGTTGCACTTAAACTCTGCTCCTAGAATGCCATTGATATTCACCAAGCAATTTCTCACCAAGCAATTTTTGCTTCTCTATACCCATCTTTGCTTTTATTTTCCCCAAACTTTTGCTATTCCTAAAATGTGGTTCCCTAAAGAGAGGTTGTGAAAATGATTCTTTAGAATGATATTAAATGCCAACGGCCGCTGCTAGTGTTTTAGGAGAAATGATGCTCTTCATATAAATGCTTAGCCTCAAGGTAGTAAAAAGCATAGATAGAAAACAAATGCAATACATGGAATGTAATGCAAAACAATGCCATAAAACACAATACACATTTAAATATCCCATGTTAATTTTTAAAATATGTTTCTTCTTCCTATTATAAAGTCTGTCGTATATTTTGCCGGATTTTGAAAATGCAAGGACCTGGTAGGTGTTGTTTTCATCTCATGGGCATTTTGGTTTGTAGTCTTCATAGTAAAATTAATGTCGTTCTTTCAAAAATACAAACCTAGAGCATCACCCACGACTCCTCACAGCTCATTTCTCCCTCAGTTCTTGTGGCTGCTACTCTTCTCTGAACACCCCCCTCAGCTTGTGTGCTTCTCTGGGGTTCTCGCTGCTTCCTCACCTTCCTCTTCTCTCTTCTTTCACTTCCTCGTGAAACCCATCTGGTCTTTCAGGTTCCCATCAAATATATGAACTTCTCTGTAAGGTCTTACATAACATCATTTGGAATTATTCATTACTTTTTTGTTGTTTTCAAAGTACTTTTTTTTATATTGAGACTATGTCATATCATGTTATAATTCCTTGTATTCACGTGTGTGTGTGTGTCTTTGAGGGCAGAACCTATCATCTTACTAATTTTTAAATCCCCAGGCTCAGCACAATGCTTGACACTTCAAGAAAATAAACACAAATAAATGCTTTTCAGATGCCCAAATGAATGGGGATAGAAATTCTTATTTCAAAAAGTATACCAGCTTAGCCTAATGCACTTTTATAAAGTATATTAGGAGATGGCTTCACTTTAATTTAAATTAATTGAGGCTGTCAGAAAATCTCTGTATTTTGTTGGTTTTAATCTCCAAAGGAATAACAATATCTACTCTTTACTCTTGTGTAGATATATTGGACAAAGTATTTATTTCATATGTGAGAACGCTTTGCCAATTGGAAATTAAAGAGCTATATTAATGTGGATTACTAAGTCATGTTTTGATTTATGTAATATATAGATCACATTTTATCACATTATTTTCTTTAAAGCATTTGATTTTAAGTACTAAACATTTTTTAGAATTAGCCTACCTTGTAAAATATTTAAACAACACTGTACACTTTTACGTTAATAGTTGGGAGCTGAGTCATAAATAATGAGAAAAAGAAAAGGATGAAAAGTAGCTCCACCGCTTTTTACTTGTACTTGTAATGAAGATATTTTTTCTCCTTTTCTCATTTCATTTTCTTCTCTCTTTTACATCCAAACAAGGTTAGTCACATAAGTAACTCTTCATTTTCATTACTGATTCTGGCCCTTTCTAAAATTTCTAGCTGTGAGAAGCCTGTAATGTGACGAAGCCAGGGTGGAGAGAAGTCCATCGATCACTGTGGATTATGCACTTGCTGTTAGTGGAGTATTTGAGGGTCTTGAATGGAGAACAGTAGAGGAATTTGTCTGGGAAAAGACATAGTATATCACATATGTATTGCTATTCTGTGTGTGATCACTAGGAAATCGCTCAAAATTGTAAAGGGAGTGGTTGGACTCAGCTGTGGGGCACTTTCTTGCCTCACTCTGGGATCCATTCAAAACTGGGAAACCTTCTAGGTCACCTGATAAATGAGTCAGAATTGAACTTTCAAGTGTAGTACATGCTGCCTCTAAAGCTGGAAATCTAGCAAACTTGGTTTTATTCATTGTATTCATCCAGGGTCAGAGGTACAAGGTGCAGTAACTCCTGTCTTACTTTGGAGGAGGTGTTTGGCATGCCTCAAACTGTGAGATCCCTAAAACTACTCCAATTTCCAGCCACTGGTTATCTCCTACCCTATTTCCTGAATATCCAGGGTACTTTTTTGCTCACCAAGTCTGATTAGCTTAGTGCCATCATTCCAACATGATGCTCTGTAGAATGTACAGAAAATCCAGCTGTTTTTGGACTTGCTGTGACAGAGAGCAGGCAAGTTAGCATACCTCTGGAGCAAGACTGGGAATATACACTGCTGTCTGTCCTAGGGGAATGTGCACTGCCTCAGGTGCTCCTTCCCGGCAGATATCTCTAGCTAGGGCTCCACATAGGCTGAACCTAACAGAAAGCCAGAAGGTAGGGAACTCGTTGTAGTGCATTCAGACCAGTCCCTGGCGAAGAGAACATGGCAGGGAAAGTTGGAGAGTAGATCTGTAGGGGAGACGATATCAGACTCTCTTAATGCTCTTCCAATCTACTGTCCATAGAGTGGCCACAGATAGCTTTCTAAAATGTAAATATGAGTAAATCATTCCCTTGGTTTAATCCTTTTAGTGGTTCTGCATTAAACTATAGCCCTGCAAAATGTATTCTCCCTTGCTCCTCTGTGGCTATTTTGTTGCTAGTCCCAGCTCCCTTTACTCTCCCCAACCCCCCAATATGCTTCAGTATTATGAACTTTCTTTTAGACTCTGTAA